CAAACCTATATAGAAGGGATGTACTAATACCATTTTTTCCAAACCAAGGACAAGTACTGATACTTTCCCTTAAGTACTCGCCGATACCATTTACCGATACTTTTTTTTTTATATATAATCGTCATGTCTCTGTTTTTAAAACAATACAGACTAATGATTTTAGGACAGTGGTGGAGCACCAGGGCCTAGTCACAACTGCAGTCACTGTGACTGTTGCAGTTCTGCCACTGACTCAAAGCTGAAGAGGGACTACAAATCACAGCAATACATTATGCAGCAATGCAGAATAATATGAAGCAAGCTACATACTCTGTTGCTCACCAGAGCTGTGTGGCATCTCAGGCGGCTGTAACGGGGTCTGGAGGCTATGCAGTGTCGAACCAGGGTTGTGCACGTCCTCACCAGGTCTATCCGGGGTGTCAGGAGGCTGTGCAGGGTCTTACTAGGGCTGTGTAGGGTCTCAGGAGAATGTTCAGGGTCTTGCCAGGGCTGTGTAGTGTCCTACCAGGGCTGCATGTGGTCTCAGCAGGACTATTTGCATGTCTAACCAGGGCTGCGTGCGTTTCTCGCCACGGCTGTGTGCGGGTCTCACCAGGGCTGTCTGAGGGTCTCAGTAGGGTTGCGCGCTGGTTAAACCAGGGCTGTATAGCGGGTGCCAGCAGGGCTGTACGGGTGGGTGTCACCATAGCTGCGGGAAGGAAGAGGAGGAAAGTTGCAGCCGGACCGGCACTATAAAAGACAGCTGCCGCAGTTCCCCAGAAAGCAGTGTTAATTTAGTCGACTAATAATTTTCATCATAGTTTTAGTCAATAAAATTTTTCAGTGACTAAAACTAAATAAAAAGTTATGGTAATTAAAAATGTTAGGGAGGAAAGAATTGGGAAGAGATTCAATTAGAATCAATCTCTTTGGACTTAAATCTGTCTTTATTGCTTGTTCAAACCTTAATACCAGAAGTAATAACAGGTTAATAGATGTTTATTCCAAAAGTATACATTTGAGATTGGAAATTCTTAAATAATGCATTACACTTTAACTTTAAATCTACTGGGGATTTAGTCGACTAAAATGTTATTATATTTGCAGATAACTTGCTCTTGTTTGTCACTTCACCCTTGACCACACCCTTGACCACACTTCCTAATGTCCTGTCACTGTTGACAGTTTGCTGGGGTATCTGGATTGTAAAATTTACACCTGTCTTTTTACAACTATATAAGAAAAATTATATACCCCTGTTTCACCAACTCCGGGAGGATATGTCTCGATGGGACTCCTGTAATTTGTCATGGCTGGGTCGCATACATGCACTCAAAATGAGGTTGCTCCCCAAGATCCTATATTACTTTCGGGCCCTACCAATAGCTGTACATAAGCCAGACCTTTTGAAATTCCAATCCTTAATTATTACATTTGTTTGGCATGGAAAACATCCTAGAATCTCAAACTGTACTGCATCGTTCCAAACGGACAGGGGGTTTGGGTGTTCCCAATCTCTTGCAATACTATAAGGCAGTGCGGGTGGCTCAGCTCTCCTCTGTGTATAACCAGGGATACACACCAGATTGGATCCAAATGGAACCTCTCTCTGCCTCGGGTACACCAATTGATGCCTTGAAGTGGATGTCCCTGAGGCAGAGGCCAGTCATTCTGGCCCCGACCTTGTCTTGTTCTATGATGGTATGGTACTCATTCCGAAGGGGAGGTGGGTTGGTGTCACCTCATACTCCTCTGGCTGGTGTCACCTCATACTCCTCCGGCTTCCATAAGCCTAATTCCCCCTCCAGGTGCTCTCCTGGAGTGTTCCATTGGTGGCAAGACAAAGGCCTGTACTGCATAGCACAATTTTTTAAAGGTCGTAAGCCGCTTATTTTGACCTACTGTCGGGAGGTTTTGCACATGCCATCCTCTGAATACTTTCACTATAGACAATTGTTACACTTTTTAAGTTCTTTGAAAATACCTAACGTGATGTTTCCTTTTTAAAACAACCTACGAACATTGGTGTCTTGGAGCTGGGGGCCAGAGGGGGGGCATCTCGCTGCTCTATTCCCTCTTGGTAGACTCTGAAAATAAATTCCACCTAGTTTGGGAACAGGACCTGGAAACGGTTATTCCAATGGATGTCTGGCGTCAATGTTGCCCCAGTGTGTCATCTGGTTTACTCATTATTTCACTAATAGAAGCTAATTATAAGGTGTTATCTAGGTGGTATATGCTTCCTGCCAAACTAGCAAGAATATACCCAGAGGTTTCTCCTCACTGTTTTTCGGGGGTGTGCTCACCCGAGCACGATGTATCACATATGGTGGGAATGCCCTAGATTGAGATCCTTTTTGGAACCGGCTTTATGCTCTAATATTTAGGGTTACTGGGGTGAGGATCCCACGAGATCCCCAATATGTGTTGCTGAATCGCCCGATTCCAGGACTGTCTAAAGCTTTGGATAAATTAATTTCTTTTTGCTGGCAGCCAACATAACCATAGCTAGGACTTGGAAATTGCCAACAATTCAATTCCACTTGGTCAAACAAAAAATTTCGTGGATCATGGTCCATGAGAAACTTCACAGCATCCTCCAAGATACTGAAAAATGCTTTGAATTGACCTGGACCCCCTGGATGTTATATACAGGGGTGCTGGAAACCGGGTAACTTCCATTGTACAATTGTTCTGTTCGTTTTTTTGGGCTCTATGTATAACTACCTCATGGCCGGCCATTGTAAAAAAAACGGCCGGGAGCTCTCTAGATCTGAGCGGGCGTCTTTAGAGGAAGTGCCTGATATTTAAAAACAGGCAGCGATGCCCGTTAACACAATCGATCCGCCGGTCTCCCCGGTGCGAGCCCGGGATCAGCATGGTGCCTGTATCACAGGGGAGATCGGTTTAAAGTTGCACATAAAAAAGAATATCAAAACAAAAAAAAATGTTCAAGTCCCCACCCATACATACACGCATGCAAACATGCGTCAGTGGCGCATACGTGCAAAAACGACAATTGCGCCCATTACGCCGCACATGTTACATATCGCCGCGAACGTCGGAGTGAGAGCAATCATTCTAGGCCCATCAATCACTGATAACACTAAACTGACGAGTGACAAAAGCTTTTAAAGCGTCGCCTATGGCCAATTTTGGGTATGGTAGTTTTCTGTGTTTTTCGCGGGTGCACTCAATTTTAACGCTTGACATGTTTGGTGTCTATTTACCCGACGTGACCCCGACTTTTATATTTTAGCAAAAAACTGGGCAATAATAAATGTTTTCTAACATGTTAAAAAAAAAAACTTTTTTCAAAATTTTCAGTAATTTTTTCTAATTTATAATAAAAAATTAAACCCGCAGTGGTGATTTAAATACCACCAAAAGAAAGCTCCATCTGTCCCTAAAAAATTGTATAAAATTAATATCAGTATAGCGTTGCATGACGGAATAAATGTCAGTCAAAGTACCGCAGCGCTGAATAGTGAACAATGGCCTGGCCAGGAAGGGGGTCTAAACACCTGGTTTTCAAGTGGTTAATGTTTAAGTAGATGTTGGGCTATTTGGTCGGGGACGGATCTACTCTTTTTGGACTCTTAAGCTGTTCTGTTTCTTTTAGTGTCTTTTTTTCCTTTTCTTTTTTTCCTTGCTTTAGGCTCGCACACGTGAGCTGTTTAGTACATTGGATGTTGGACGGAAAGTCTTCTATGTATATAGATATGGAGGAAGTCATACCAAATGTTTGCTTCAGACACAGGTGGATCCTTATGCCTGATATTCCTCTCAGATTGTTTTGTTGATGGGGGATAATTTAGCAAGAGTAGGTGGATAGATATGTTCTATTTCACAGAATTATTATGCATTGTGTGTATGGTTTCTAGTGATCTTCTCTTACTACCTGACTATGCTAAGGGAAGACTCTGAGACGCAATTGTATGCTATACTGTTTGTGCATCATGTGCTATCTTATTGTTTTATTCTATCTTAAACATTTTATAATAAAATACTTTGAAAGTTAAAATGTTATTATATCTAGTCGACTAAAAATAAAGATTAATCTAAAGCAATTCAGATGACCAGGGCTGTGTGCGGTCTGACCAGGGCTGCGTTTTGGTCTCGCCAGGGCTGCATTTGGGTCTCGCCAGGGCTGCTAAGTGGCATTTTAGTCAAGACTATGACTAAAACTAAATTAAAATTTGCTGTCAAACATAACACTGCATGGCAGCTGCTCCTGTTTAAAAATTGTAAGCGCCAGTATGGGTGCTTAGTATCGGGGAATTTTCACGAGTACGAGCACTTGTGAAAATGCCTAGTATCGGCGCATCCCTACTATATTGCAAAATTTTTTGGTTTAATAGTACTAAATGCTGAAAATATACAGCTGAAAATATACAGCTGAAAAAGTTAGCATCTGTGGTATATAAAAACATACATTCAACTTCATTTATTTAAGTTATTACTTAAATACAGTAACCTATACTAGCTCATAAGAATCTTTAGGTCCCATTCACATTTTGCTGTTCTGGTGCATGGAGTGAACGCACATGTCTGCATTAATTTTCACGGTAATGTATGTTGCACTAGAACTGGCAACCAAAAGGACATGTAAACATTTTTCCCTTACAACGAAGCACAACAACACGATAGTGCGTCACCGCGCATTACGGTGCTTTAAGAATGCAAAGTCTTTTACTGAGTAAGCTTGCATATTTCTGTTCAAAAATTTACTATGTCATAGTAAAACTGTGTTTTATCTGTTCTGTATTTGACTCTTTGGTGAATGAGCTTACAGTACTTTTACTTCTGTATATTATTTCATTATTGTTCTATAGTTAAAAAAAAACCCCAAGAAAAAGGGCCATATGAACGTTCTCATTTGGTGAACTTCTATTTTAGGTGGCTGTTCTGTTAATGAGTAACAAAGCTGCCTGGATTCATTAGTAACCTGCAAGGCTAGCTTCTTTTTGCTGAGTGCATAATGTTCTCTTAAATTTTACTTGCTTAAATTTTACTTGCAGCCCAAGATGAGGATGAATGCCACACTGTCACCATGCAGCAAATACCAGCACTGGAGGAGTTCGACATGAGCTGGGAGACTCGGTATCAAGAAGCTGCCATCTACCTCCAGGTCAGAATGAGGCTGATTTGGGGGGGTAAAGGCAATTGTCCGTCGTCTGACAAATAAAGTTAATTTTTTATTTTAGAGAATCCATGAATTGAGTAACTAACAGCATGCAAGTATTCAGAATGTTATGGATTACAAGTGATTGTGTGGCTTTTAGCAGTGTCTTTTGGAAAAATATATTGAACACAATATAAACATGTATTTGTTTTATGTGCAAGAAAACCAAGTTTGTCAAAATTAAAGGTGAATATTTTTAAAGTGACATTAAAGTAAAAAAAAAATTGATGTTAATGTTAGCACTTACCTTAAATGATGTCTCTTCTTCTTTCTTCTTTCTTCTTTCTTCTTTCTTCTTTCTTTCCTGATATTTTAATCTGTCCAGCGGTGCGGCGGCTCTCCCATCCAGCGCTGACTGCTCTGTCTCTCCGATCCAGCGGTGTCTGCATGCGGGTGCACGCGTCCATACATTTACCTTGCATCTCTGCTCGTCTCCCGGCCAAGAATCCAAACTGCGCATGCGCCCACCCCAAAATGCTTTGCGGCCGCCCGAACAGTTTCATTTTCTCGGGCGGGAGCGAGCAAAGAAAAAAAGGTAAGTTTTAAACCGCTGTTTTAGCATTTTTTTTCTTCTGTTTATATATGCTACATATAGAGTGCACTGAACAATAGATTTACAATTATCCTCTGCTAATATGAATGGGTTATTTACAAACCACACTAGGTGTGTAAGTTATGTGTGGAGGGTTGCTGCAAAGTATAATAATCTTACCTTGCAGCATGCCAGCTCCTACACATAAAACACTTGATTGTCATGGACTCGGGCTGCAGCTAACGATTATTTTCAAAATTGATTAGTTTGCCGATTTATTAAGTTCGATTAATCGGATAAAAAAAAAGAAAAAGGCTCCAGTGATGGACTACTAGTTTGTATTGAGATTGTAGTCCATCACGGGAGCAAGCTTGGAGCGGTGGAAGTAAAAAAAAGTGTGCTGTGCAATATATAGTACATTATAAAGCGCGCAATGCAGAATACCAGCAGCTTTAGAGGAATACAACAAATCACAGCAATAGTACACTACAGTGTAGTTATACTACTACAGTGTACTATTGCTGGGATTTGTAGCCCTCTACAGTGATCAGTGATTGCTGAGTGTTTGTAGATAATTGAGGACATGATATATCCTATATCCTCAATTATGAATGAATGGGAGAGATCTACGACAGCGTGTGACGTGCGGCTCAGGCCGTGTGTGGAGCCCCGAACAGGCTAATCAATCAATAGCCGACGATCGAAAACGTCGCCAAAGTATTCGATCGTCGATTTTAATTGACTTAATTGATTGTTGCAGCTCTATCATGGACTGTGGAGAGTAAGAGATATGACTCAAGCAGTGAAGGGCTCCAGTTGCATGCCCGCCCCTCCTCGTTACTTGTCCATCTACAAAATGCCTTGAATTTTTCTCAAGGAATACAAGGCCTTCTGTGATTTGAGGATGAGAAGTTATTTCACATATCTCTCCCCTCTTCTCATCCTCCAATCACAGAACACCTCGTCTTTGATACAAATACAAAGCACTTTGTGAATGGGCCAGTAGTGAGGCCTTCTCCAAGAGGCTGACGTTTCAACACTCCCCTATCAGAAAAGCTTAAACATGGGTCACTTCAGATTTTAAGGATGGGGTGGTGGGATTCTGGGGTTTGGACATACAGGGTCACATTTTTTTTTTCATTTTACATACATATTTCATATTTACACTGACAAAAAACAATTTACAGACACATACATTTAACGTATTTCCTAGCTCCATTGAAACCGTTTATGTTAATACCTTACACTGCCAGGGAAGCAAGAGACCAGGAGAAAGTCAGGAAGGTGTTGTTTGCTTCCCATGTACTCAGTATATGCAGTATAGCTGTTCTCTTCAGTGAGCGCTACATAAACCTAAGTCTAAATACTTAGAACTGTATTTACCTGTCCTAATAAATAATTTCTCCCTCCATGTTGCTAAACAGTCTTATTTCATCACTCTCATTTACACATCTCATCCAGTCCTTTCTACTTTTAGCTCTCTACTTTATCCCCCACTGCCTCCACCGACTTACTCGTTTACCCTCAGGCATGACATTGCCAATTATTTCAAAAACAAGATGCCATTCATAATGCGATCTCCACAATGTAGATCTCTCTACAATGTATTAGACATGGTGACTCATGGGTCATTAGACCGCCAGAGCCTGGGGGAGATGATGGTTAAAAACAGGTTAGTGTATCTTTTGTCTTTTAGACCCTAGCCCAAAATGAGCACTAAACCTTGCCAGTGCGGGGCTAGCCCCACTGCAAGGGTTCATTTTTATTCTGCCCAGAGTTACTCCTGTTAATATAGAGGAGGTTGCTAAACTTTTCTGACTTCCACCTAACCACCCTCTATCGTAACCTGTTCCCTTGTAATTACTCTGGTCATCTGGTTGCTCTATTCTTTGCTCTCTAACCCACATCTTCAAGATCTTCCTTTCTGCTGGTATCTTTCCCTCCCCTCTATAACATAAACGGGGCACTCCCATACTTAAAAAAACCCTCTATGGACCCCACCAGTCTGAACAACGTAATACCCATCTCCTTGCTCCAATTTACCTACCAAGTTTTAGAATGCCTACACTACAACCGTCTGAACTGCGACCTCAGTGATAACTTTCTCGACACTTTATAGTCTGGCTTTCAACCTCAACACTTAGCTAAGATTTCCTTCCGTGTCAACTTCAATGCTATCTCCCCTCTCCTGTGTCTCCTTGCATAGAGATTATACTACCTTATCTAAAACCTTGACTCGTTGGCTTGTGAGAACTTCCTCCCTATTGGCCTGCCTTTACATAGGCTATTCCTTCTTCAGTCTCCATGAATAACGCTTCCAGACTTCACCTTACTTATCATTCAGTGTCCACCCCCCCTCTCTGCTGATCCCTCTACTGGCTTCCACTCGCTCATTTTTTTTTTTTTTTTTAAAAATTTAAGGTCAGGGTCTGCAGGGTGCTATAGAGACAAGAGGCCGGTTTAACCAGTCCCTCCGTACTTGCAAGTGATTCCAGGGGGGACCTGCCTATGTTAATCCTACCTCCCGGAAACTGAGAGCTGAAGGCGTGGGAGAGCTGTAGATATCGGAAGCCAAATTTGGATGGGATGGGGGCAGCTGGCTAGCTCGGTGAATGTCCTCAGGGAGTTGGCCACTACTATATCCGATATTAATTTAATTTTACGCGTAGCCCAAAAAGCAGGATCCGGAATTGTGTAAAAGTGGGGCAGTTGGGGGTTATTCCACAAGGGGGTGTCTGGAGAGATAACTGTAGCAGCCCCAGGACACCAGGCCAACCCCGTGCGCCAGGCCCTGATAGTAGTTCGCATGGATGGAGTGAGAGGGTAGGGGGCTCTCGGTCCTCTATATAGTAGGCCCTTCAGTGCCTCCACCGATTTCAGGATGGCCGCTTCCAACATGACCGAGGAATTGTTTACATCAGCCGAGAGCCACCAGTTGGCCGTGACCAGTTGGGTAGCCAGGAAGTATTTATGGAAGTCCGGGAGTGCCAAGCCTCCCTGGGTAGTGGGGCGCATAAGGGTCGTGAGTTTATACCTCGGGGGCTGAGTCCCCCACAGGAAGGAGGAGATAATTTGATTAATTTGATGAAAATAGGGTTTAGTTAACCATACCGGAGAATAACGAAAAATTTATGAGAATTTGGGCAATATCTTCATTTTAACTAGGTTAATCCTCCCCAAGAGGGACAAAGGTAAGTTCGCCCACGCCTTCAGTCTCTGTCTCATATCACCTAGGAGCGGTAGTATGTTAAGTTTGATAAAATCCTGAGGCATGCCTAGCAGGCTAAGCTTGCGTCTAGCTGACATAAGAGCGTCAAAAGTGTCAGGAGTGGGGGACAGCCCATAACTAGAGAGGCAATCCGCCTCCGCAGCTTGTAGTTCATCCGTGCGTGCTGAGTCCTCCTTTTTTATTGCCTTCTGGAGGGACATGTAGTCTCCTCTCATACATGCCTTGAATGCATCCCACACAACCCCCGGCCCCGCGGACCAGGCATTCAGCTCCCAATATTGCGCAGCATATAGGTGAGGGAGACAGATCCTCCGAGCCGCCGGTCTGTGTGCTCACCGACATCTTGCTGCACTCAGCCAACACAGCCAAGATGACCGCCTCCGAGACTCCACGAGGCCTGCCTCCCGAGGAACGAGTCGATCTGCTCTTATTGCGTTTCATGTAGCCCAGTTCTGAGAAGGCGATCTCAATCAGGAGGTGTTCCGGTTCGCCTGAACCCAGGTAGGTCTCAGAAAATCAGTACCAGGATAGTATCAGGATGGTATATGGAGCGGAGCTGTTCTGGCACACGTCTGCTCGGGATCACATGCTGGCCACGCCCCTTCCACTCGCTCATTTAATTAAATACAGAATACAAAAAACATATAAAGTCGTGACCAACATTGTCTCAAAATATGACCCAAAATGTCCTGTTCCCAAGCTCCCACGCTCCCACATCACCTTCTCCCATGTTCGCCTCCATGACTTCTCCAAAACCTCTTCCATCTTCTGGAACTCCCTACTCTAATCTTTCTGGGTATCTGCGACTCTGTCCACCTTTAAGCGATCCCTGAAAATGAATCTCTTCATGGAAGCCTATCCTGTCTCATGCTTTTACTTCCTCCAATAACTTATCATCCTCCTCACAGTTATTACTATCTTTTGTATGACTTGCTTCACCCTTTTAGATTGTAAGCTCTCACCAGCAGGACCTTCCTAACCCTTGTGTCTTCAATTGTACTGGAACTGTACTATCTCCATATTTAAAAACCTCTGTGAAAACTGTTGGTGCGATTATAAATCCTGTATCATTTTTATAATAATAATACTATCAAATTATTATTGTTTGGACTTTATAGTTTATTATTAATAAGTTTTTCACTCTGCTTACCCAGTTCTTTCTTAAAACTCTTTATAATTAAAAGGAAAGTATGGTAATTACTGCAAGACAAACATTTTCCTACTGTCAATAACCTTATAATTACCCTTGTGCCTAGAATCTAGTGAACCCTCAGTTTACCCTAATCAGCCTTTTCTGGGGTTTTTTGTGTGTGTTTTTATTTCTGTTTTTAAAAAAACCAATAATTTCTGTTTTTTTTTTTTTTTGTTTTTTTTTTATAGCGTTGCATTAAAAATATGAATTTTTTAAATATGTAAATAACTGCAATTCTTTGTACCAGAATCATAATTTTAAATCTAATTTTAAAGAGGACAAATTATAGAATAAATGTGATACTTTTTATCTACAGTAGTAACAATATCGTTTTTTAACACTGATTTAAATAAGAAAACAATTTAGTTTTATATTTTGTTTATGGGTTGCATTAAAAAAATAATTTTTGTAAGACATTGTGACCGAAAGAAAACCTTGTTTATCTTTAAAAAAAAATTATATAAGTATCTTATGTAATGACAAAGTTATTGGCGCATAAACAGGCCTATAGCAGAGATCTAAAAATTGCTTTGGTCTATAGGGGATGTGCAGGTGTGGCAACTAAATTGGTTAAAAAGGCAGTGCTATTTAATGTGTTTAAAATTTTTGTATTTTATACTGTTCAATGCTTAACATTTGTGTGTGGATGTTTTTCTTTCAGTGTGATTTCCTATGACTTGTCTGATGTACCTACATCTTTTGTTAATTCTATACCTCTGGTTGCCATTTGTTGGTCTTGTGAATGACTATTGTTTTCTTTGTGTACTTGTGTTTTCCATATGTTGATATTTTTCCTCAATAAAAACTTACATATAAAAAAGGAAAGTTGATTCTTCTAAAAAAGGATAATCGAAGAAAGAAAAAAAATAGAGAAAGGAGAGATCCATCTAAAGTTGCCCATACACTGTACGATTATCGTGGGAAATCCCGCGATCGTAAGATAATCGTACAGTGTATGGAAGGCGTGCGACTGTTTCTACTGTACGGTCGCACGTCTTCCGTCGAACAAGCAGGCTTAAAACCCCGCCGAGAATCTTACGATTCTCGGCGGTTTAGTGGCCTGCTTGTTTGACAACTGCCGAACGGGCCGGTGTGCGCACACTGCCCGTTTGCAGTCATCGGAAGCCCGCCCCTCAGCGGGGCGGGCTTTCGATGATCGCAAGTACGATCTGCCCGCACTTTTTCCATCTGACCACAGAAAAGTACAAACAGAATACTGTTAACACATTTGTTGGAATACTGATTGTTTGGGTTGCATGATCTCACTTGAGAGGGGTCTCAGGCAACCATACGAAAAGGTCTGTGTAAGTGACAGTCCAGTCTGTGTAAGTGACGGAGGCCACCACAACAATTTGCTCTAAGCCCAGTCATACACCTTCCTGAAGAAATAGTCGTACAATACCAAGAAACGCGTAGACGGTGTACCTGATCTCCTTCTATGACAAAAAAATCATATACCAGTAAATATCCAAAACCTCTTGGACTCCAGGTGCCTCTTCTCACCTTTCTTTAAGGAAATCCTTATTTTGGGAACACCCCTTCAGTTACTTTTAAAAAAGGGCAGTGCTATTTTTCAGAGTTAAAACAATGAATAAATAAGACCGTAATTGGAAACAGAAGTAACTATATATGAGTACTGTGCTGTTTGTGACTCAGATAATCATCATGATGAAGATCCCTTAGCACAAAATCAGGAACATTGAGTTAGTTCTGGAAGAAACAAAATTGCTTACTTAGGTGTAGTAAATATTTCTGAACATGTTCTTAACTGAATGAAGTTAATGTTTTTTGTTGGTATTTAACAAGTATCATTACCTTTAAAACTGGAATAATATTACAGGCTCTTCAGCTCTCTGCCAATAAAGAAAAAAACAGTCCTAAAAAAATGTGTAGGAAAAACCTGGTGAACTCCTTTTACCCTACTAGAGTATAGAACTAAGTGAGCCACAGACATTAGATTGCGGTTGGACATATAAATATATGATCTGGTCTCCCTCAGGGCTGAAAGTCAGGGGAGCGCTGCTGAACATTCTGCAAGTCTGTCATTTCAGATCTACAGACAGGTATCTCTGAAAGAAGAGGTGATCAGAAAAGCTTGAGATGGTTAAGCAGAGGGGGTTAATAGTGATATTAATCTGAGTATCCTAATGCACACCAGTATTTAGTGAAATATTTGCTTTGTACAAGAGTGTACCAGACATTGCAGGCCCATTGCCTTTCATTGCTCACCTTGGTAAAAGCATTTAACATTTAAAAGCATTTGTGTAGGTTTAATGTCTGGTGCAACACTGGTTGATATATTTGTTTTTCCTCATTTCCTTAGGAGGGAAAGAATAATGACAAGTTTGACACACATCCCCGGGACCCATATGCACTTGCTGCATACCTCTTTGCTCATAACCATTTATTCTACATGCTGGAACTGACCACTGGGCTTCTGTTGCTGCTACTTTCTCTGTGTGAGGCCCCAGCTGTCCCCTTTCTCCGCCTTGACATCTATGTAAGTAGGACTTTTGTGTTTGTGTGTTACCGAGTTAAAGAGAAATTCAAGGAAGCATGTCATGAGGGAAATACCATTGCAGACTTTCTGAAAATACAATTTGCCTGGCTGTCATGAGGACCTTATGAACGCATTACTTTTCTGGGTCAATGACTTGGAGTACATATGCATCAAGTCAGGATTTGTGATATGCATGCTTGATCCAGGTTAGTGATTTAGAAATGATTAGTAGAGGAGGATTATGCAACTGAACAGTGAGAGCCTTGAAGCAACACTGCAAATGATGCATGCCTGGGATCAGATAAACTTTTTGTTTAGTATAAAATGATTACTTCTCGTGTATGACCTTCCTTGCCTGTTGCATCTGTTTACATATTTCAGGTCCATGCTACTCTGGAATTACTTGCCCTGGCTTTTGTGGTGTTTGAACTTGGTATGAAGATGAGATGGCTTGGGTGTCATACTTTTTTGAGACACCGCAGGACTATGCTAAAGGTCTGAGTGCCATTGTAAATTTACGATATTTGATCTTCAGTAAATAATGTATTTTCATTATTGTATATATTGGTAATTAAAGTCACATTGACATACCCACTTATGTCCTTCTGTCTATGCATCTCTGCAGAGTTGTGTTTTATTGGTTCAGTTTGTGGAAGCTTTTGTGGTGCTCATAAGACAGACCTCCCATGTGCGTGTAACAAGAGCCCTGAGACCTATTTTCTTAGTGGACTGCAGATACTGTGGGGCAGTCAGAAGGTGAGAAAGGGTTATATACATACATATACAAATAGGGGGGAATTTATCATAGCAATTGCTAGTGTTTGAACTCTCATATGGTCGCTTGGGATATGTTTGCGCAAGATTTATGGTCCTAGTGTAATGTTGTTCATACATGAGATTAAATAGACTCCAGGAAAGAAGACTTTTAACTCCAGGCAAAAAGCTTAACTGTTGCTTCTTGAAGAAGTGGTTGTGGGGACTTCTTAGGTAGCGATTGTTTTGTTAGGTGATGCTCCAGTTTCAGACAGCCGCAGAACTAGTGCAGATGTAAACAGTTGCGAACTTTCGCAAAACAGGCGCAATCGGAAACATAGTGCAAGCTCTGGTCAAAACAGGCGCACATGCTAAACAGATTTGCATATTAAAAAAAATTATCTAAGAGGCTAAAACAGTTCCAGTTGCTTTTGATAAATTCCCCTCACAGTGTAAAGGTGTGCACATATTGTGTGTTCCATAGACCTGGGCATCAGTTGTGTCTCTGTAGTGTGGCCAGTTGTATATGTTATACTGGAAAAGATCTGATTACTGGGATGTCATCTAAGCTGCTGGTCACTTGCATCTTCACTATAGTGTGATCAGGTGTTTAGAAGATTAAAGGAGAACTATGGGGTCAGGGCTTTTCCCCATAGTTCTCCTAAAGGTAACGGGAGGACACAAACTAGCTTCCTCCCGTCACCCAAAGCTCAGTATACCGTGAGACACAGCTCGCGGAATACTGAGACGCTGCAGCCAGGACGGATCCCGACAATTATGTCTGGATCCGCCCAGCTGCGTGAGTGGCAGCTGGCTCTGCCTATCTAAAGGCAGAGCCAGCTGTACCCGCCCCCTCCCCCGTCCGTTCCTTCAGTCAGTACCGGAGGATAGGACAGGAGAGGGGGAGAATCCCTGCAGGGAGCCGCGAGTGGCAGTCACGGCTCTTTGCAGGGACAGGATCGAGAAGTGAGCGTGCGACGGTATGTATTTGCTCATTTCCCGATCTATTGAGACAACTTGTGACAGTTTCATTGTCACACGTCGGCTAGAACTATGAGGCTGAGTGATTTTTTCACTCGCCTCATAATTCTCCTTTTAATAAACGCAAAGCCAACACAGCAGGTCTGGACAATTTAATGTAGAGATCTGCAGACTCTCTTATCTGGCAATATAGACGATTTAAAATCAAACACTGCAATAGAAATCCAATTTCTTAGTATACCCTCATACATTGATATTGCCAACTATTTTGTGCTTGAATACTATAGTGATTACCTAATAAATTAGATTGTATGTTAATAGTACTGCGGCTTTTTGTTTATTAGAAACATTGAGGACAGTTAAAGGAAAATGCTTTTTTGTGGCATTTGGTTAGCAAATGCTTATTCTATATAGCAGTAAATGGAAAACTCTCTTGTCAGTTTATATGGTACGATAATACTGAATCTCTATACAGGGGCATTTTCTTTATCAATTAAGTACTTAGTTGGCTGTCTGTTCATGAAAATGTAAGAATTTTCTATTACTCCATAGGAACCTGCGCCAGATTTTCCAGTCTTTGCCACCATTCATAGATATTCTGCTGCTCCTTTTATTTTTCATGGTCATTTTTGCAATTCTGGGTAAGTTTTTAATGAACAAATCTGTGACTGTAGGGACATGAGCGCTTATTCATGGCTCTTATATATGCGACATAAACAAGCTATTTAGACCTTTTTAAAGCTGAACTCCTGGTAGATGCAAGAGACACAAATGAATACAGCTCTGTATTCATCAATACATCACTAATTGTATTTTTTAATGCAAGCACTGTAGTTAGCTCAATTTTGTATCAGTTTCTTGGAACCAACTGTACAGCAGAGCTCCGAATGGAGGAGGGAGAAGCAGCACAATAAGCCAATCAGTTGCCCTGCAGTGCAAGGAGAATAGAGTTGAGCTCTGCAATGTGCTGCTTCTCCTTTCACTGTTTAATCACAGGCTGGGGGAGGGACAAGAACTGTAAGTTTTTTATGAGAAAAATCAGGTTTCCTTTCCGTGTCAAACAAGGCTGTGCTGTGTCCTAGAGCTGTGTAAATCGCAGAACTAGACGGACAGAAATACAAATTCCTTAGCAGGTAAAAAAACTCCCATAAATATATCTGTGTGGGTCACTGGTTTGCTAATGTTCAGTTTGAACTACTGTAATTGTTTTGGCATATTGACATTGATATATAAGAACACCTGAGTTATTTTTATTCTCTGTTGGCTTTTATAGGATTTTACCTGTTTTCTTCAAACTCTTCTGATCCAGTAAGTTCTAGCCCTTTCCAAAGATTTTCCTATTAGTTCAATGAATGACAGTGCCTGTGCTACCCTTAACTATCTCAGTCTTACCTTAAATATTATTAGTAATGTTTTTATTCATACATATATTGGATGGCCAACATTTACAGTTCTGAAATTAAAGCTGTATACACTATATACTTGTTCATGTGTGGCTCCAATCACTCAGATGTGTTAACAATAAGGCCAGCTTCACACATATGCATTCATTTTGAATGGCACCCCTGCACAGTAGGGATGGAGCTCTAGTGCACCTGTGTTGTAGTCAGGGCCAGATTTACTCTCTCTGCTGCCCCAAGGCCAGGTTCCTCAATCCCCCCCAATGGAGAATGGCAACCATTAATCATGGATTGCTGAGATTTGTAGTCTTCTATAGCCGGTTGCCACTCTCTTTCGCTGTATAATCATTAATTATACACCAATGGAACATGGCAACCAGCTATAGAGGACTATAGATCCCATCAATCCATGATTACGCATCAATTATAAAGGGGTGCGTGCAGATTGCACCGGGGCTACATTTGGGTCTCGGCAGGGCTGCGTTTGGGTCTCGGCAGGGCTGCATGCGGGTCACACCAGGAATGCATACATGTCTCAGCAGGGTTGCGTGTGAGTCTCAGCAGGGTTGCGTGTGAGTCTCAGCAGGGTTGCGTGTGAGTCTCAGCAGGGTTGCGTGTGAGTCTCAGCAGGGTTGCGTGTGAGTCTCTCCAGGGCTCTGTATGTGGCTGCTGGGCTCTCTAGGGCTGAACGGGTGGGATCCGGGCCTGTGCGGGGCTCCAGGGCTGTGCTAGTGGGTTTGGGGCTGTACTTTGCTGTGCCGGAGCTGGGAAGGAGAAGGAGGCAATGTACAGCTGGACCGACGCTATCAAAAACAGCTGCCTGAGGTCCCCAGCAAGCTCAGGACCTCAGGCAGCCGAACTTCCTAAAAAATGTAAAGGGCCAATGCCAGCTGTGCCGCCTCTCTACTCCCTGCCGCCCAGAGGCCATGGCCTTGTGCGGAATCTGGCCCTGGTTGTAGTGCCCGGTAATGCACTACTGGGGCTTAGTGTTTTAGAGAATTGCCACTGTAGCTGTGCAGTTGATCATGGCGGCGGTGCTAGAGGCTGGACAATAGTTGGCCTACAGGTAAAACCTCTCCTGGATGCAAATCTATCTAAAATGGGGCAGATTGGCTCATTGACTAGTCATATGTTGATAGGAACAAAAAAGAGTTTTCGTAATCTAAAATCCACATTTTCTACCCAATTCAGTTAGGTGTATGGTGTTATTGTACAAACTATTCTACAGAGTGGTGTACATGTGTAAGGTGGAAATCTTAGATCTTAGTGGAACTTTGCTGTCCCATGGCATGCATACAAAACTGATGGAGAGTCAACATACCTGGTTACATGGAGTAGGAAGTAAGTGTGGAAGGGTGTAGGTTTATTTGTTGGTGTCCAGTTTTTTTTCTCCATCGTCTATTGAGGGACACAGAGAAGTTTGGGTTATGCTGCTGCCTTCAGGAGAAATGGACACTAGGCAAAAAAAATTAAAAGCCTGTCAATTTAAGGACATAACCCCTCACAACTGCCAGTTTCACTTGGTGTCCTCGGGAGAATGGATGTTTCCTTTTCTTTCTTATTTTAGTTTTTTTGTTTTGTTTCCTCGTTGTATTTTTACTATAAAGAGGCTGATAGTTGAATCGTATGGATAAGTTAAACCCTGGACGTTTTTCTGGTTGCAAGGACGCAGGACATTTCTGGTCTCAGTACGTACGCTCCATCCTGCGGTGATCCGGACTTTCATTGTCGTCTCTTCGTTTCATTAGGTCATGGCCACAATTATCTGGGGATTCCTGTTTTGGTGAAGGGAACAGGGCCATGGAGTCATATGTATATGTTTTATTATACCTAATGGAGAAAGGTTATTTATTTATTTTCTCTTTCTTATACATTGGCCATGTGCATTGTCTCACCATAAGCTGTTATGCTTTAATGTGAGTTTTTTGTCACGGTGCGGTTTGAACACCGCTGAGACCCCTCAATGGTGACTTTTGGACCATATTTACCAGCGATACAGCCACTTTAAGTGCTTAGTCTTCTGCCTGCGGCAAGAATATAGGCGTTTCATCTGTGTCTCTCACCTCACACCGGTTGGGAGTAGTATTGAGAAATCTGTGGTAATACACCTTTTATGTGTTGCAGATATTTCTGCTTCCAAGAGGAGGTCTGAGCTCACTGTAACGGAGGAATCTTTCTCTGAATTACTGTACTGTTTGTAAGGCAGAGATTGTTTCTGGAAAGGAATGTATCGGTGTCCAATACTGCCTTAACTGATTCTTCCCTTTTTCTTACAAAAGGTGAATTTTCTTCTACTATGGGATTTTTTTTTTTGTCACGTTTGGAAAAACTTGTTGTACCTGTTCAGAAAGGTAAAAAGCATTGCATCTCCCCTTCTCATGTGCTTTCTGAGGATGAAATGCCTGATATTTCTTGAACTGCTGTTGCTTTTCAGGAAGATTCTGTGTCTGATGGGGCGTTTGTTTCTTCGGATGAGGATGGGGTCTGCTCAGGCTGATTTTTAGTCATCTGCAAAGTAGCTGCGATCGTGTTCGGAAGCACGGGGGGAATCGCAGCGGGAAACCGCGCGATCCGCACAACCGACTGGGGTGCCATTAGAACATAATGGCACCCACAGCGTGATCGGTTCACACCTTGTCGACTCCTGACCGCGTGGAATCGTGCACGATTGCCGCAGGGTGAGGTGTCGCCTGGGTGTGAACCTCGCCTCACCAAAAAGGTTGCATTGATGAGCTCCAAAAAAAAAAGAAGCATACTACATGTTTGAGACTCGAATGGAATGTATTTTAGTTTTGCAAGATGGGCACCTCAATCAGTGCTGAAATTGTTGTTGGCTTTTAAGTACATTTTTAGAAATGTAATGACCATTAATTATCATGATAATTTACTAAGTGGTTCATAAAATGGATGATTTGACTAACCTTGTATTATTTAAAATCTCATTTTGTAAATTTGGGGTAGTTAATATGTTAAGTGTTTTATTGTTCATTGCCTGTTGTTTTGCGTGGGAAGAGTACATTCATTTCCTTTTTGTCTTTCAGTATTTTAACACTCTGGAAAATAGTCTTGTCAGCCTATTTGTTCTTCTGACTACTGCCAAGTAAGCACCTCTTACCTTCTATTTGTTATGATACTATATAACCTGTCGCTCACACTGATGGCAATGCACCTTTTTGTGTCATAGTTTTCCAGATGTCATGATGCCAGCTTATTCACGCAACCGGTGGTCCTGCATCTTTTTTATTGTTTACTTATCAATTGAGCTGTATTTCATCATGAATTTGGTAAGCATGGACCTTCAATACTATTTCATAAATGTAATTGTTCCAATTGTTGTTGCCACAGATGTTACAATGTTTCAATTTTAAACCAATTAAAACTGACAAATTGTTATACTTTCCCTTTAAGTAAACTAAAGGATATTGGGGCTATCCTCCTTCTAATGACACTGATTTGGCTTACTTATTATTAAAATTGTTTTCATAATAATTTTAATGGAGAACATAACCCTAATGTCTAAACGCATATGACTTTGTTTTTTTTTCTTTTAGAAAAGCCTTAGTAGCACATCAGGGAGTTTAAGTGGCTTTGCTGTGTTTCTGCCCTTTTATTGTGTTCATGGTTCTTACTAAATCCTGGACTGACTCAAAGATCTGCCAGTAATTCTAACTGGGTAGCGTTGTGTTCATTTTCCTTTCCATGATGTTGCTACAAAGTGTATGGCTGCCCCAGCGGAAGCATTAGTGGAAGCTCATTTTATGGCTCTTCTGGTTAAAGAAGAGCTGCGGTAAAATGTTTTATTAACCCTTGCAGTGGGGCTACCCACGCACTGCAAGGGTTAACTGCTCGCTTTGGTCTAGGTTAAAGAACAAAAGTTATACTCACCCGATGCTATGAGCTGGCTTGTTCTTAGACTGGTCCCTTCCAGCCTCTCTCCCTGTCCTCTGCAGTGGTCTAAAGTCCCATAAACCATCACGCCTATACACTGTATAGACGTGAGGATGCTGAGGAAGATTTAAATGCTGCAGCAGGGGAGTAGACAGGCTTGGGACTCAAAGTGCGGGGGTAGCCCCACTGCAGGGTCAAGAACATTTTCCTTGAGTTATTTAAAATATCTGACGGGTTAAGTATGATACAACAGGAACACTTCTTGGAGTATGTTCTTTTTATGGCTTGGCATTCAATAAATATTTTTTTTCTGTTAAACAAGATATGTTTTTGTGTGAGGCACTGAAGCTTTTTTTCCATGCAAAATCTAGTGTATGCCTAACTGTGTCATGTCATATTATCTTGTACTCACTGCCTTTTATACTGTTAAATGATTACCACTAAACTATGTGGAATTTCCTAGACTGTAAATTACTTCATTTGATACTGTGGTATGGCAGCTGGCTTTGATTTTAGAAGTTATAAGGTAATGGTGTATGATTCACATTCTAATTTTCTCCTCCTCAGCTTTTGGCGGTTGTGTTTGATACATTCAATGAAATAGAGAAAAAGAAGTTCAAGTCTCTGCTTTTGCACAAGCGTGCAGCCACTCAGCACAGCTACCAGCTACTGGTTAATCCACAGGTATAAAGAAAGAATTCCAAGTGATTAGAATAAAAAAATGATTTAACTAATTTACTAAAAAAAACAAATGTAATGCATTTATTTAGAAATGTATAAGAATGCACGAAGCTTGGCATCTACAAGAGCTTTCTCTTTACACATCTGAATCCTGGATCTTGTCATAGGCAGTGAAGTAAAATTTCCAGGTCTATGCCATAAGTAGAGGACAATAATACCTGAATACACTTTGCAATTCATAATCCAAACACATTTTTTCATCTGTTGGGTGACTTGTTTTAGAAAGAATAGTATAGTACCTTGGTTCTCAACTGGTGGGTCGTGACCAAAAAGTGGGTCGCGACCTCATGTTCAGTGGGTCGCCACATGCTTTCCACTTTTTTAGGGTAGAGGCTCCTCTGCCTCCCCCTAGCGCAGCACTGTCAGGTCTCTCGCCAAGCAGCCATTTAAAATATGCTGCTCGGTGCCGAGTGTCAGCTTGAGGTGGAATGGGATTGGGGGTATGGCCGTGAGGGAGCTCCATCCATACGTGCCTTGCTTACAGCTCCCTAATGTGTCCTGTAGAGGTGCCTGGACCGAAGTGACATCACATTCTGGCTCCTGGCACCTCTACAGGGCATGCAAGGGAGCTGTAGAAGCAATGCACATATGGATGGAGCTCCATCACAGTACAGCAGCCCAAACTGGACCCCAGGATGAGGATCCAATCCAGTTCTCGTAAGGAAGGGAGACTGGGTGGATCTTAAAAATTTTTTGGTAGTGTGTACCCTAATTTCGTGCATTCCATTGCAGTGCGACTTGGGTCGTGACTTGATGACCAAGGACAAATGTGGGTCCTGAGGTTACACAGGTTGAGAACCACTGGTATACTAGAACAATTTATCTGTGTATAGACAGCCTCTACGGTTTATTTACGCTTGAGTTACCATGCATTCTGCAGCAGGTTTGCATTGGTTTGAATGGTTCCTTATTGTTTTCTTCTATTGTGAAAATATCTTTTTATGAAACAGTATATTCATGACACATACATTTACAGTATAAAAGAAAAGTTAGGGCACCAGGGGATCCAGAAGAATCAAAGATTTACATTCTCAGTCGTGTGTAAAAGTTGAAGAATAATTTTTCACAGATTAAAAAAAATAAAAATCAGCGTTTCAGAGATCTGCTTCCAGTTCAGCAGGGCTTAAAGAGGAAAACAATAAGAAGCTAAGACAAGAGAGAATTAAAAAAATGATACTTTAAAACCTTGAACCAAGTCTTTGCATCTGAAATGTGGGCTAAAAAACACCCTTAATATTATTTTTAGAAATTAGGGTGCTTTTTAAAGTAGAACAGAACTGAAAAAGTGAAGATTTTCCATGTTATAGGGATTATTTAGAAATGTTGATTTGCCTAAGCAGTACCTGGAAAATGACCCTTTGCCATGAATTCCTCCTAAAAAATAGCAGTGCAGCTCCAGGTATGCAAGTATGCCTAGGCACACCTGGCGTCTACAGCCTCATATATGTGTATGTGGAGTGTGAGATTCAAGGCATTGCTGCTGGTCTCGGGAGATTTAGATTGAGATTTGGTGATGTCACTACTGTGCTTCTCACGATTCTTGCTGGAGGTTCTAATATGAGGAAGTAAAGCCCTACCTCAACCAAGATGGCCGTCTGAACAGAGAAACACACTGTGAAACAAGGCATGGTAAATCGGTATTGGGGAAACTATCTATTGCAGGGAGATCATAGGCAATATTGGTGACTTGGGCTCAACCTCCAAAGTTCCATTGCTCTTCAATAGCATTTAAAGTAGAACGTAAGTCTAAAAAAGAAAAATGACTTGAGTTTTTTGTTAGAAGAGACTTTGTAGGTTCTTCTGCCAAGAAACTCTTTCTCCTGGCAATTTCTTGTATGGTGCACACTGCCTGTGGTCCATACATGGTGCAGTGTACACTCTTAGTCCACTCTGGGCATGTATAAGATGCCGAGAATTGAGCTGGGTGCTGGGATAAGGAAACTATCGCACATGTACAGAAGTTATATCCAGCAGTGACCGTCCATCAAGCAAAGAGAGAAGACATGCTGCCTTCTCCACTGAGTATTTATAGGAGTGCTAGCAGTCCTGTGGAGTGGGCCAAAGCACAGTCTGCCTGTTTCTGAGGTCACAGAAAGCCTTTCATCTTGTCTCCTTTTTTGCTAGGCTGAAAGAAAGCAAGCTTATATTATGGACAACTTTCCCTCAAGGTCACATTGACAGTGATGTCAGACAAGCACTTAACCTTAAAACCAATTGCAATACTAACCTTCTTGGAATCAATCTGTATTTTACTTTTGGTGTCTGCAATTAACTTACTGTACTACATGTTATTGTAGGGGCCCCCAGGAATCTCTTTCCGGAATTTTGATGGCATGATGAGGTACTACAAGCCCCGCATGTCGACTCGTGATCGATACCTTTGCTTCAGAGCCTTGAAACAGAGCAGCACAGACAATCTCCGGTAACTTTTGTCTACAGTTTTATCAAGAGAGTACAGTTTAGCTCAAAAAAGGAGTAAATACCCATGATTGACATATTTCCTGATTAGTCTTTGTTTGCTGGATTTACAAATCTTCCTAGTGAATGTGGATGTAGAAACTAGGTTAATATGAGTTAAATGTACAACAAATCTCAACAGCATAGGTCTTTATAGAAAATAATGGGAAAAGTTTGAATTTGCCAGATCAAAGTATTAGTCTTGTAACATTTTCCAAGTTATACATATAAAAAATGTTTCCAAAAATAGCATTTTCAACTGAACATTTCTAAAAAGAGATGATAGCAAAATATTCTGGAAACAGGCACGTTTTGGAAAATGGTAACAGCGAACATTCCTCAAGAATTAGAAGAAAAAACATTATTTTCAGTTTTGTTTGGTTTTTTCTTGCAATCTGTGCAAGGGAGATTTCCGTTTACTTCCTGTTCTCAGACAGAGCAGGAAGTGAGAAGAAATATCCTTAAAGTGAGGGAAATCCCCTCTTAGTCAGCAGAACAAGTGTTCCAATTGAAAAATGTCCCCTCTATTCCTGTTCTGGTGACAGCTCCAAGTTTAGAATTTTCTCTCACTTTGAATTCCTGTGACAATAATCACCCAGACAAATAGAGAGGGTGAACCTCCCCAACAAGGACACAGACAGTAAGAAAACCCTGACAGAAGTTCAATTAAATCTTCAAACATATTATATGTCTTTCATAGCCTGCTTACTCATGGAGTAGTTTCATGGAGCTTTTGTCTTGCAGGTTAAAAGACTTTTACCATTTCTTTGAAGTGGTGGACCTGAAGTGGAAGGTAAGTAGTATCCCTTTCCATCTGACTTACCCTTTAACGGTTAGCTACACCTTATTCATTTATTTATATTTTGTGGTATACATTGCTGAGTTAAATCATACTCTGGCTTCGTTAAGTAGAACTGCAGGGTTTTGAAAAGTTAACCCTTACAGTGGTGCTACCCTCACACTGCAAGGGTTAACTGCTCATTTTGTCTAGGGGGCTGAAACTAAAGAAGAAATACTCGCCTCATCCTTAGTCCCACCTGGCTGCTAAACCGGTCCCACTGCCTCTTCTTCCGCCGGGCTCCGGCGGCCTAAAGGCCCATGAAATCATCACATCAAATACAGGTCTATTAGACATGAAGACGCTGAGGGACATTCCATAGCCAGAGCAGAGAGGAAGAGAGGTGAGCAGTCACTGCTGCAGGACCGAGGTTAGGGTGAGTATTTCTTCTTCTTTTTTTTTTTTTGCCCTGAGAAAAAAAGGAGCAGTTAACCCTTCCAGTGCGGAGGTAGTTCCACTTCAAAGGGTATCCTTTTTAAATCTTACAAAAGATTCACACAGTGGTGTCGCTCAGTCACAGCTCCACTCCTGTGTCATTTGTTCTTTCTGCCAATTGGTAAATCTATTGGGGAAAACATATGCGTCTAAGGTGAAGTGAGAAACTGGATGGTGATATCTTGCCACTGGAGTGCAAAAGTGTTATAAAAAGCCAGCACATAATTCAACTTGCCAACAACTAAGCAAATTTGACATATTTACTTTTAGTGCAGTTGCCAGTAAAGTATCACATTTTGTGTTGCTGGTTCGGTCTCTGTATTGCCTTGAGGAAGAGACCATGCATGACCCAAAAATGTTGGCTGTATGACCTATGTGACATATTTGTTAACATCTTGCTAGTTAGTGTCCATTCATGCTTGAACCTTTTCCTTGGCAGGTACAGCGTATTCGTGAACATTGGTTTGATGACCTTCCTCCTACAGCCCTTCTCATATTTAAAGGTGAATAACTATATTCTGATTGTTGTGATAGCGATATATCCCTTGCTGAGACCTCCTATGCCTGGCCTGTATAAGCAGATATACTCACTGCGGACAATCCTTGTCAGATAGCTGAACTCACCAATACCGTTTCATCCAAAAGAGGTGCTTTATTTTTAACAGGGTTACAGCAGATGATAGGAACAGCAGATTAAATGGTTTCAGTATTGTGCGGTCAAAAAATGATGCCTTTTCTAGCGTACTATGTAGAGTACATGTGTCCTAGTTACATGTGGCCTGTTAGCTGTGGCCATGACACAGGAAGTACTGCCCTCAGGAAGAAGGGTGGGGCTTACATAAAAAGGAACTGTGTCATCGACCCCAGGGATATCAAGAAAGGCAACATTGAAAAATAAATACACTACCACAAAAGGCCACTGGATGGCAATATAGGAACAAATATAGAATGACTATAGAAAATGGTATAGGAAAACAATCTATATAAACTCTCATCTACTAATAATGCTAATAACAATTATATGCCCCATTGGCGTGGCACAAACTACTTTCATTTTATGCATCATACGCAGAGGCGGCTCTAGACTTTGTGAGGCCTTAGGCGAAACTCAAATGTGAGGCCCCCACCTACACCCATCATGAAAAAAGCCCAACTGGGTGCCCTCAGGTGGCTGCCTATGCAGCCTTATGCTAGCCCCATATTGCCACCTTTTCTTTAAGCGAAACCCAAACACTCTAGCGCTGCATGGCAATATTTTTTTGGGAGGAGAGAGAGGGAGAAGGGACAGCCAGCAGAAAAAAAAGAGAGACAGCCAGGAAAAAGACCTCTGACCAGCACCAAAACACTGTAGAGCCATTGCACAGCAGACCTCTGACCAACACTAATGAACTGAAGACCTCAGACCAGAACCATTGCACGGTAGAACTCAGACCAGCTAAGGGATGCATCTCTCCCCATCCTGCCTGCACTAGCAGCAGCCGTGCGGGCTGGACACGGGTGCCGTGAGTTCATTTAGCTCTGCTGTGGATAGGGTGAGTTAGTCAGCCGCGAGGCCCTCATGAGTGCGAGGCCTTAAGCGGCCGCCTAACTCGCCTAATTAAAGAGCCGCCTCTGATCATACGTTACTTGTAGAAGCTGGTAGAGGCTATGTGTTGGTGAAAGTCAAAATTCCTTTGGTAATGCAGAACCTGAAGTATGATCTGTGTCACATTTTAATGGTTGGCACTATTCCTGGTAGAGGGGGACAGAGTGGAATATTACATAACCCTGTAACATGATATTTCCCATGCCAAATGACATGATGTTTCTGACTGAAATACCAACTGACTGCAGCCAATTAAATGTATTGTTTCTTTCTCGTGTAGGCATTAATGTCTTGGCAAATTCAAGAGCATTCCAGTATTCTGTATGTGAGTATAACAATTTGACCTCATTCATGTTTCTGGATAGTACTACTAATGTCTCCTGCCAGGAAATAACGGTATTTCTTATTTACTGCATATGTAAATGCACTGTTTTGATTAGTTGCTGTTTTGTCTTTTTTTGTGGGCTGGTTTGTTTGCTACTTTTCCATTACAGTACATGACAAATGCAAAAGTGTGCAGGTTTGTTGAATGAAATGAAATACCACATTTTGGAAAAAAATTATAATTGTAGCATTGTTTAGCAATAAAGTGGAGCGAGTTCAGCATACTGTGTAGTATTGCACAGGGTACATAGTGTAGCAGTTTGTGGTGCATTGTGTACGGTTACATTGGCGGAGGTCAGTGGAGAAATGCACCATTACATTGGCTGCAGTCAGTTGGTATGTCAGTACAGCGACGGTAAGTGGAGAACAGCTTTGGTACAGTGTTAGTCAGTTGACAAGTATGCTGAGTGCACTCACTGTTATATTAGCGGTCAGTGGAGAAGTGCACGATTGATATGGTGGTCAGTGAAGAAGTTTGTTGGTACAGTTGTAGTCTGTGCAGAAGTGCTTTTCTACAGTGGAGAAGATACAGTGCTGGTCAGTGGAAAAGTGCACTTTTATAGTTGGACTTAGTAAAGAGTTCAATGGGTGCAGTGACGATCAGTGTAGAAGGGATTTAATGCAGTGTCGGTCAGTGTAGGAGGGATTGGGTGCAGTTTTAGTGATTGGAGAACTATGCTCTGTGCTCCATTACATAGGCAGTCTGTAGAGACGTGCATTAGTGCAGTGGCAGTTGGTGGAAATGTATTTGGGTGCCGTGGTGGTCAATACGGAAGTGGAATGGTGCAGTGTCAGTCAGTAAAGGAGTGCAATGAGTGCAGTGGCATTCGGTGAAGGAGTGTTTTGACGTAGTGGTGGTCAGTGGAGAAAGTATGATATGTGCTCCATTACATAGTCAGTGAATTGCAAGTCAGTGCAGTGGTGGTTATGAAGGAACTGCATTCCAAAAGTTTTTTTGCGGATCCTAAACTGTCACATTATAACCTTCTCTTTTCCTTCACTTTTCAGATGTTGTAGTTGCTATAAATGGATTCTGGATTTTGATTGAGACATTTATGGTGAAAGGTATGTTCAGCATATTCATCTGACAACTATTTACCATTAGAATAATTTGATGTCCAGTATTATATGTACTGAGCTTTCCATTTAAAACCTTAACTATGAAAGCTTTGACCAAAAAAAGACAAGAGAGACAAAGTGCTAGTCAATAATAGTGCCTGTGGTTTCCCTGCTGCTGATCAGTTCTTTATTACTAACTTACTATGCCTTGTTCTGCACTCTATCTCTCTGTGGATAGGCCATCTTAGTAGAGGCACTTTGCTTTCTCCTGTCAGTGCTGATCCCCCTGTTGACTGGTGGGGTAATATTCAAGAAGCAGCAGGAGAGGTGCAGAAAGCACAGATTCACAAAATTGATGAAGCAGAAGTAGGGTGATGCAGGTCTACAGCTTCTTCTCTAGCAAGCAGTGCAGTGGTGACATCACCAAATTTCAGAGTTAGCAGTGCCTCCGATGATCTCACCTTGCAGAGCTATGAGGCTATAGGCACAGGAAGTGCTAATTTTCTGGAGGAACTCAAGGAAAAGGGTAAATATTTCAGGGCACTGTTTAGATGCAAATGCTTAACCCAACAAAAACTTAAAGCTAAACTAAAGCCAACTATACTCCTCTCCACATCAGTGATGTGAGGGCCACTAGCTCCCTCACCAGCACCAGGTCTTCCTCCAGGTTCAATATCTTAAGCCATCGTGATTGGGTTCTGTATGGCGTAACTCCCGTGCATGCACATAGTAGTTGATTCATCCTGGCACAAAGGCATGCTGTGAAAGTACACAGAATCTTTTATTGCAGTAGAGACATAGTATGTCCTTTCTGCAATAAAAAGACTGCCTGCTTGCAAACGTTTGTGCTTTTGGTTAAAGTTCAACTTTAATATATTGTAGATTATTAGTCCATAAATGTGGCGACTGCATTAACTTTTTCAGGCGAAGTACATTGTCTGCAAGTACAGAAATATACCTGTTGATTCTGAAATCCAGTGTCATTGTAACTTCTTGTATACAGAAATCTCAAGCAATGTTATCAGATTTCTCGGCTAAAGACAACCATACACTAGTAGGTTTTCGTAAGAATTTTAGTATGAAAGATCTTGCTTTCAAATTTCTATTACTTCATGGGGTCAAATCGATCATCAATTTCGACCATAGTGACGAAAAAAGTCGAAGGACCAGGATGGAAATATTTCTAAAATGGACAAAATTCTAATAGTGAATGTGGTTTTCGTTCGGGGAAACTCCATTCATTCCAAAATCGTGTTAAAATACAACAAAATTTAGTTTGAAATTCGTCAAGTCTCTGATGGCATTATCAGGTGGTAAAGGAAGATCTTTTCATGGTAAAGGAAGATCTTTTGTACGGAAATCTACTAGTGTATGGCCATCTTTACTGTTGTGAACTACAAGACCTCTTCCCACTATGTAACGGACATGAGAAGAGGGGTTTGTGGTCCAAATCAGGAGTGCAGCCCAGAGTGACAAAGCTGCTCCTCCATAAATACAACCCAACGCGTTAGCGTTGCCACCCTAGCATAGGAAGTGTGTTATTGGGGGGATTATAAGGTAAAAACATATAGAGAAATAAAGCCTGACTAAAGAAAATTCATGCAGCCACTATAGTTAAGGACTGGTAAGCTGCAATATGTTCCATTCTTGTTTTTGGGTTTAGATGCGCTGTAACATCCCTAGATGTCTCTTATAACATAGCAAATCTTCACTTTTTCAGTTAAGGCACACGTAAAAAAAAGGACATAAATGTTTTGGATCTATCACTCCACCAGTCTCTGTGTTATTGCAAAAAAGATTTGAGAATACTCAGGAAGTATTCTGTATTGTTTTTGTTTACCAAATAAGCAGAACATCTAGGTAATTTACTGTATTTATGTATTCTCCTTATACTAAAAACAACATTTGTCTATTTTCTGTATGCCTTAAACATACAATTGTTTTTACTAAAATCTTTTATAGGTGGGAACTTCTTTCCTCAAGGCGTTCCATGGAGCTACATTGTTTTCCTTACTAGTAAGTCCCAGAACATTCAAACCTCTCTCCAGTTTTGAACCTGTAGGTCAGAGGTGGCCTCTAGATTAAAGGGCATCTGATCAGGCCCATGGGTTATGAAGAAGTTCATGTGCTACATTTGAGATCTCTTGGAATCATACCTAACTACACAGTGGTTAAATGCAATTATACACATGCCCAGATACACATATCCACTTAAAGAGGAACTTTGCCCCATCCTTAAAATAACAACAAACACCCCTTTAGAAATGTTTATTAATGACAATCTACAGACAAATACTTCTAGATAAGCTCCGGCTTTCTATTCTTTGCATACCTTATTTCTCTTTTCTTTCCCATTCTTCTCACAGTGCCCATTTTAACTAAGGGCAGGTTACTAACTCTCACTTTACTTCCTGGATCTCTGTCTCTGATGTGACCATGCACATCATCTCAGGGAAGGAAAATGCCTTTCCCTGAGATCTCATGAGATTTCCCATCAATGCTCTGCTGATGTAAGCTGATTGAGCAGGAAACAGCTGAGATTTGATTTGGGTATGGCCAGCTTTAGGTTTCAGAAAGATCCAGTCTGCCTGAAAGGGGGAGGTTTCTGCTGTGTTATCTTTTTAACTAACTCCTAGTGCTCAAGGGATGCTTTGTCACGTATTTAGTGGTTATGTGTAAAACACAGACTGTAGGGGCGTGTCCAGGACCTGATGGCGCTCAGACGTGTCTAACTAGAGCTCCGGCATAACCACCCGCAAATTTAACATCCCAAACCAGTCTGACGGCACTCTCAACCGTCATAAAGATGGGGAGAAGAACCAGGAAAGCAGAGGCACCCAAAACACCATCGACTCTTCTCACTGCTTTCTGGCTTTTTCTTTCCCTTTTTCTATTTCTCTAATTGCTGGGGTTTACCTGGTATATGTTTTTCATGTCTTGTAATAGTCTAGTCATAGATGGAAATAGCCTTTTACAACTATGGGCTGCATTATAAGTGTAGTGAGTACCTAATGATATCTGGACTGGATGGTTTGTACTTTATATGTATGTGTGTATAATGTTTTTCAAATATCAATAAAAATTGAATATTAAAAAAAAAAAAACACAGACTGTATACATATTGTAAAACATTTAGATATAAACCAACAGTTTAAAAACATAAAAATAATTACATTAAAACACACCCTGTACCATTATAGTGTCATTTTTTTGTCAGATGCAGATGTGGTAAAAGCACCCTTAATGTGATTAATGATTAAAGGAATATAATACAAAAATCAAGAGACGCTCCAGTGTATAGTATTACCACAATCTACGTTTGCCTTGAAGTCATGTTTAATGTGACTGTTAAATCTTTTCATGCTTCATGTACCATCATATACCGTGGCTATTACATACACAGGGTTCTAGATTCTTCTTCTAGTGGATATTGATATCTTATGTAAGCACTTATGCCTAGCATAAACCTTATGTTATGATCAGAAACTTAGACACAGATGCAGATATCAGTTTTCAGCTTCCCTGATCGTATATACTTGTGCCTGCGGAGCCGGGGGAAATGTTCCTGACTTGAATTGTCTGACTAATCATTATTTGGCATTAGACATGGTGTATTTGTCCAACCAGTCTGCTTTTTTTTTTTTCTCTTCTGATGATAATGGTTACTTTGAACTCCCTGATTAACCAAATGTTTTAGTCAGTCCTGACTGCTAGACTGAAAGTGAGTAACTGTAAGTCTGCACTATCAATAGTAGTTTGTCTTAGTAGTACAAATCATGGATGTCTACCTACCCATCATTCTTGGGGAGAGAATTGTTCTGTGGGCAGCCTAAATCACAACTATTGTCAACCACTATCAAGCAAGTAGCAGAACCTGTATGTGTAACAAGGAAATATGACTGCTGTAAACACATGTGAGGACGCTTCCAAAAACTGAACACACTTTTTGATATAATTTTTTGCATTAAACTGACCATATTTACATGCTCTGACACTTTTATTGACTTAATATTCACATCCACTTAGCTCAAGCTCTACTCTAAGATGCCTCTAGTCTATGGAATGAAGATTTCCAGTCTGGCTCTGTCAAAGGTATCAGCACAGCATAACGACATGAAACTGCTAAAACGAAAGGTTTTAGACAACATGCATATCATTTTATAGGCAACCAAAATCGGTTGCTTTCCCTTGTTTTGTGTTAATTCAGGTACAATTATTCCAATTTCCAACACAGTCACTAAGTGGTAAGCATTCCTGCTTGCTGCAATACACTTGGATTCCGTTCCAAAAAAAACACAGTATCGGGTGCTACTGGAAATTTATTGAGCTCGTATGAAATAAGGTTTTTCTTTTGAATATAGAATGTGTAAAGAAAAAAAGAGCGCCTCCGTGAAGTTACCATATCTCCCTGTGGGTTTTATTTGGGTTTTCCCGGTGCTGAACAGTTTGCAGATAGATTAATTGTCTCCAGCATGTTTTGTTCTCACAAAGTATTTCTGTGAAACTGTTATATGCAGATAAGACTATAAACCTCGCTGGGGAATGCATTGATTTGAATTTCAGTGTTTGCAGTAAAATGTTGGAATACTCTGGTGATGTTTAAAATTAGTTCAATATATCCATCTGATAGTCGTATTTTTTATTTGTCAAGCCCAACCAAGTGGTTAGAGAAGAAGAAAAAAAATACAAGGGTTGTATGAATAATGTTATGTTTATTTCCTTTGTTCTAGTTTATGGGGTGGAAGTTCTCCTAAAAGTAACTGGATTGGGCCCATTAAAATACTTTACATCTGGTTGGAACCTGTAAGTACATTGGTAGTAGGTACCTGTAGGTAGTTTGGACCTATTGGTATAAGGGTGCTGTTAATGCTACATTCTGCAAAGACATTTTAGACAATTATGTGCTTCCAACTTTGTAGTAACAGTTTGTCAAAGTCCCTTTCCTGTCCCAACATGACTGTGCCCCTGTGCACAAAGCCAGGTCCATAAAGACCTCATTTGATGAGTTTGTTGTGAAGGAAGTAGAGTGGCCTGCAAAGGTCCCTGACCTAAACGCTATTGAAACACATTTAAGATGAATCGGACTGCCAATTGCGAGCCAGGTCTTCTTGTCCAACCTCACAAATAATTTCCTGGCTGAATGGCCACAAATAAAAGCCTTCCAGAAGACTGGAGTGTTGTATTGCCATGGGGTGGTGGGGCTTGTCAACCCCATATTTGCTCTTGCAGGGTAAAGCAATAAGTTAACTTTAAAGAACCATTGGCTGAATGGGCACAAATAAAACCCAAAAGCACATACTTTGTTCCCCAAAGCACATGCTTTGTTTTCCTTCACTCACAGCTCTGTTTAGCCGCTGGGAGTGAAAAAAGTACCTGTTACTTTTGGGAATGGAGGACTATGGGACTCAATCCATGTGACAATGCTGGTTTGTAAGCAAGCCCAGCGCTGTCACATGGGGGTAGGGACAGAGTCACCCCTTTGTAAGCTTTGACTGGCGATCGCACTTGCACCAGCTGTTTTTTTTTTTTTCATTCTTCTCAGGTTCATGGAGCAGTAAGTGAGCCAACATAATAAGTATATGTGTCTGGGGAGGGGGCATTAAAGTGAACCTGTGGGTTTTGCCCCTTAATGACAAAGCATGGGTTCAATTTCAATTAATTAAAGTACATCTGTTATGAAAAACATATGCAGCCACTGCCTGCCTAAAGCCAAAGCATAAGCATGGCAGCCAGGGAACTAGCATTCTCAATAGGTGAGTTTATCAATGACAGCCTTCCTAATCTTTCATGACATAGTGATTTTAAATGCCAGCCCAAGCAATTGCATATACTTGCTTCTCTCTTCTACTGTTCCATACATGAGCGCCAAATCAATCTCTTCGGCACTTCCACAGGGCTTAGGACACTGTTCCTGTCCCCACATGATAGCTTTGGTGCCTGGTGATTAGATGATCAGGCACTTAGTACTGTATTGTAGGAGGAATGGAAGTGAGTCACATGCCTATCCATGTTGGAAAGTATTGGGTATTTGTCTTCGATCCCAGCAGCCAAATGGAGCATTCAGGAGGAAAGTAAAGGTAAGTATTTGTGGAGGATGATAGAGGTGTTAAAGTGAACATGTTACACTGCTCTTTGTGGGCAATGCAAGAGTTAAAGCCCAACTCCAGGAAAACCTTTTATGTAGGTAGAGTGGGAAAGTGCGAGAACATCTGTCAAGTTCAAGTATTTAGTGTTATGTTTGGCTCTGGTAGAGATACTTCTCATTTCTAGTCCTGGTGACCCTATACATGAGATAATTCCCAGATTGACAGACAGTGATAAAACCCTGACCAAGATTCTAACACTTAGTTTAGCCTCTTACCTGCTTGGCTTTACATTTTCATCCAGGCATTGATGCAGTGTTCCAGTCAACCCCACTTCCTTTTGTTGGTAATCTGGTTATCTAGGAAGCCCTTTTGATGACCTGTTTCTAATGCAGGAGAATGATGCTTTGTGCTGGGAGGGGAAGGACTCATCTCAGTTTTGGACTAAGTTAAAGCCCCATGAACAGCCTGGGTCTAGAATCTAATGCACAATACAGGAACATAGGGATAAATGAAAGAACTAACACAGGTACTTGCAGGTACCACACACTGTCTAAAATTCAGAGCTGGTGGCACCTTAGATTTTTTAGGCAATGCTAGATTCACCTTAAGAACAAATGGTATTTGAAGGTACTTTGAGAGACCTGATTATATCTTGTCCTGTTGCCTTAATAATTTCATATTATTGACAGGTTTTTTTTAAGGGGAACCAATCATGATTATACTTATGAGACTGTAAATATTCAGTATTTCATACTGTACAGTCTTACAGGTGAAAGATGTGTATATTTAGCATCATGTTTAGCTTCACTTTACTTTGAGTTTGACGCTTCAGTTCAATAATCCGGGACAAGAGTAATCTAAAGTCTGACAATTACTGTACTAGCAACGTCTTGATGTCCCTTACTGTTTAGCACCTTCTAAGTGTGCCTAACTGTTAAAGTTCTATAGTTCATATTCCTCTTGGGGCTCCGTTATTTAAGACTGTTATGCACACTCAGCAGTCGGCAGACAGTTTAAAAGATTGTGTGCTGTCAGACTTATTGTGACTCCTAGCTTGAAATCTTGTTAATCATAAGCCCAGTTGGGATTGACACTTAAGCTTTACTATCCTTTTTATTCAACTTTAGTACATGGATAACATTTTCTGCGTTTTAATATATCTTATTTTATTTCTTGTGGCATATTTTGTGTTCTAGCTTTGATTTTTCTGTGACCTTACTGGCACTGTTGGGACTCCTAGCTCTGGCCCTTAATATGAAGCCTTTCTACTTCATTGTAGTCCTGAGACCTCTTCAGCTACTCAGGTGAGTATTTTTGTATTTGCATGTATGTATCACTTATTTATATTTAGCAATAATAAAAATGATAATTGAACATTTGGGTATGATGAGTTCATTATACCTCACACAACTTCTGCCTGTTTATTTTCCCTTCAGGCTTTTTAAATTGAAGAAGCGATACAGAACAGTGTTAGATACCATGTTTGAGTTGCTGCCAAGGATGGCCAGGTAATCTGACATCCACCTGGGGGATAATATGTTAATGCTCTTCTTTTGATTTGTATAGATTTGTCCGTTTCCTTATTGTGTTTTGTTTCCCTTACAGTCTAGGCCTAACACTGCTTATTTTCTACTATTCCTTTTCCATTGTGGGCATGGAGTTCTTCTCGGGGGTTCTGTATCCCAACTGCTGCAAGTAAGTATGGTGTATCAATCAGATTTCGTTTTTCATTTGTTGTGCAGTATTATTCGTAAAATATGCACTTTGGTGACCTTCAAGCAGAACCAAACCCTCAAATATAGATAGAAGACAGTAATCATGCATTATTTTCTCACAACAAATTACTTTTTATAGTCACTCACATGATAAAAACAGTGCATGGTTACTGTGTTGCATTCCTCCTTTTCCCTGCTTGGCTAACCACCATGGTTCTCATATGAAAACAATACTTGAAGTCACATAAACTTTCACAACTAGATTAGGAGATTTCCTCTGCTCCTGCTCTCCCTTCTCATAATAAGATAAAGGTTACCATCAGGCTAACTGCTTTTTTGTTTCCTGTGTCCCATAACCCATTGTCTTTCATATTTTAATTAAAAGTGTTTAACCTATCCAATAACATAATAAAAAGAGCAGTGGTGTTTCTGGAACTATCATGTTTGAAATGAAGACTTACTGTTTACTTACTGAAGACTAATTTGTTTCTCTGGCACTACATTTAGTATATCAAAATTAGTGAACACGCCAACAAAAAAGGAATGGTGATATTGGACCTAAAGCAGACATAAAGGAATGTATTCTCAATCTGGCCTGTCCAACATAAAACCAGCCTTGTGTCCTCTTTTACATACCACTAGGTGGTGCCCTATGGTCTGAATAGGTAAAGCGACTGTGCAGTGTTCTTTATACATACAGTATATTCTTTCATTATAATGTTTAGGATGATACTAAATATTAAAAAATGTATTTATATATTTATATATTATGAATATTTTATATTTACTACTTGCAGCTACCTGGTTCAGCTCTAAGCTCCACTTTTTTTTTACCAGGATAGCTTTACTGTTGTTCTGTAAACCGTTCTCTATGGATTTTCAGTAAGACCGAGATGGACACAAAGTGAAAAGGCAGTGCTTGGCTTTCTTCTTGGAAAGGACAAAGGGCGGAATGCTCTGCAAAATCAATTAACGTGTATAAGTGCAATATAGTACATGAGTAATGGAAACAATGATATGAAAGAGTTCATAAACATTAAGCAAATTAACCAAAAACATATAATAATGATATTTTCCTAAGGTAATATTGTAGGTCCTATGGTAAGATGCAAGTAACTTTTTTCAGTCATAGGTCATTGCTTTTGGGCATATTCCTTCCATAATAAAGGGATTCATTACTGGTTTGAGCTCTTTACTGTTAATTTTATCATTTGTGTCTGGCATAAATATGTGATGCTGTTCTATAAGTATACCAGTGTTTATTATCATGTTCTCTCAGTACTAGCACAGTGGCAGATTCTTATCGTTTTCTCAACCATACTGTGGACAACCGTACCCAAATGGAGGAAGGTTACTACTATCTTAATAACTTTGACAACATCCTCATCAGCTTTGGTAAGAGGGCATGAACCATTTTCCAATGAACTTCTATTGAGTATTTGATCTGACTTATTTTAGTTCATTCAAAAAAGCATAATGCATGCAATATCTTCATTAGTTTTTATTTGCTATCTTTTACATTCATTTTGGTTTTATTCACTAATGGCATTAATGTTCAGATGAGTTGATTTTACTGCCTGCATGTTATATTATCCAGTTACTAAAGTGTAACTTTCACTTAATTATTAATATCGCATGCGCTTTCTCTCCCTAAAATGCTGCTAGCTTTAGGCTGTCTGTAACTATGAGTTTCAATAGTGGAAAAAAGAGCCTTGTGTGGTTGTACTCAAATAACCCTTCATGAGATAAACTAATGATTCCAGGCTTTCAACAGTTAAAAGCCTATTCTGCACCTCTGTGATATTTACCTTTTGTGAAATTCATATTTTTGGAAGGGAATAAAATAATGAACAGTAAAATATTTCATCCATGTTAGGGCTCATTTGCCCCAGTGCGCACATGCTAATGTACGCTTTGTTAAAATGCATTGCAGTGCTTGCTTTTTTGTTTCTTTTTTCCCAGGTATATAAAATTTAGCAAAAATAAGGCAATTTATCCTATGCCCTATGGCCTCAGTTCATACCAACGCACTGTATTGCTTTGCACTGAAAAGACATACAGCAAAGCAATATAGTGCAAAGCAATACAGTGCGTTGGTATGAACTGAGGCCATAGGGCATAAGAGAAATTGCCTTGTTCTTGCATTGGAACTGTGCTGGGCAACGCTACCATACACAGTTGGTGTGAACAAACCCTTTGTGAAATGACCCTTTCATCTTTGTTTGACATCTGATGATTGGTAGAGGGTACTACTGAGAGATCTTGTGAAAGACACTGAAAAATATAATCAAGTAATGCAAACCCTACATCTATTTTAATATAAGAAAAATGTAGCCACTAATAAATACATGGCTAAAATAATGTGACTCCTACAAGACTCTTGTAAAGTGTCATCGGTAGAATGACACTTTACAAGGTTCAACCCCTTGACAGCTGGCTCAGTTGAAATCATTGTACTGAACCTGAACCAACCTCCAAGCTAAAACACCACTAAAGCCAGCTATACAGTATGCCAATTTCAGCTGGTTCTTAAAGAAATGGTGGAAATTCACACAGTGGGTGCCCCTGTCAGCACCCTTCCGTTTGGCATCCCTCTTTCAGAAAAGCGAAGGAGCCAGTTGGAAAATCTTTGGCCGAATGGTGCTGCAAGCACCATTCATGTACTGTTACAGTGGCCGGAGCTGCTGTCGGAATACAAAGCTCATAGCTCCCTTGTTGTTCTAGCAGCGTTGCTGAAAGTCTAAATGCCCTGGGCAGATATTAAAATACGTAATATTATTATAGTCCAGTGTAGTATTTCCCAGCTCAAGCCCACAAGTTGAATTTGTGGTGCTTTATGCTCTATATACAAATATGTGTTATTTCTGTCATTTGTATTCTGTCTAAACCTAAAGTTGTTCTTATTATCTGTCATCTTTCTTGTAGTAACATTATTTGAACTGACGGTGGTGAATAACTGGTATATAATCATGGTAAGTGTGACAAGAAATCAATATGGAAAGATCAATGCTACTTATATGAATGTGATCATAAAATGTGAAACACTTTGTAGTGTACCTGTAGTTTTGTAGTGCTTGACATGCCTCCAATAAGGAAGTAATTGAAGATAGGAACTTCACTTGTCTTTTAAAGGCTTTAGTGTATATTTGAAAGAATCAATTCACACTTTATGAATCATTAAAGCTTTTATATATATATATATACACACACACACCATGTGGATTTGAATATCATATCAATATGATTATTACACAATGTCACTTTATCATATAATGTAAAAAGACAAAATAAATAATTTAATGGCATGCAAATGTATCTTTTGGACAGGAAGGAGTGACTTCTCAGACATCACACTGGGCACGCCTTTACTTCATGGTGTTTTATATTGTCACTATGGTGAGTACATATATACGTCATAAGTAATTATTTATGGCCGGATTTATAACAGTTATCTGAAAGCTGGCATATTCACTGGCCTGAATTTGCTGGATACCTAGAGATTACCAGTCAATGTTGCAGAGGATGAATGCAAATGAAGAAACATGGTGAATTTGCAGCGCATGTGTGGTCAATATATGACAAATAGAGACTTAGAGAATCAGGAATTGTGGGTTATTGTAGAGAATCACTGGGATATTGCTCATTGTGGCATTTACCATTGAAAAATTCTGAGATCCAAATATTGTAAATCCTTTTGGAACAGATAAATGTTTGTTTTTAGTGTGTAATGATAAAGGTTTCTATAAATCGGGTGAATGATTCATTGGTGGATATATGGTTAATCCTCAGTAAATATTCTATTCACTACTTTTTACTAGGGATGCACCGATACCACTTTTTTAAGACCGAGTACGAGTACCGATACTTTTGATCAAATACTCGCAGATACCAATTACCGGTACCTTTTCTTAAGGGGACAGGTCACATTTTTTCTAAAGCAATACAAACTAATGCTTTAAGGTCACTTTCCTAATATTATGATTCATGAGATGATTATGATTCATGAGCAGCAGCATTTGGGCGAGTACGAGTACTCACCCAAATACTTGGTATCGGCACCGATACCGATACTAGTATCGGTGCATCCCTACTTTTTACTATATGTTTGGATATAAGGATTCTCTCTTTAAGCAACTAATTGCAATATAAGGGTAATTAATCAATAAATGATTGATTTAATTGTAGGGCTGCAACAACTAATCGACATAATCGATTATAATCGATTATTGAAAAAGTTGTCAACTTTTTCAATAATCGATTAATCGGCTTCCGATCAGTTGGCCCTGTTCACA